GTGCCAGACAACGCAGGGCCCTCAGCAAGCGCCGCCTCCCTCGCCGCTGGCGGGGTCAGAGCTGCAGCACGTGGGCCGTCCTGTCTGCCAGCGGCGTTCGACGACTGACAGAAGTCCGCAGCGATCTCAGGACGGATGGTGTTCGACATGGTTGTCTGCTCTGCGTCATCGCTGGTCATTGCAAGCGCCTTCCTGTCGTAACTGCCAAGCGCGGCGCCTGGGGGCATCCAGCTGTTGCAACTAACGCAATAACCATCTGTCGACACCAGCGTCACAATGCATCTGGCGCATGCGTGTGGGACTGCACCAGCAGCGAGAGCGGTACATATTAGAGTCGTGATCGGAGTGCACGTTGGCGGGGACGAAGGAGATGACTCGAGCCAGCCCAGAGTCCACAGGGGACATCCTGGCGAATCCAGCATGGCGACGGGACGGGACAGCCCGGAGTCCACAGGTGACATCCAGGCGCCCACTGGACGAAGAGCAGCCTCAGGGATGCGGTCGAGACCGACATCACGAACAGGTTGAGGAGGTAGGCACCAAGCACCCTGTTGTTGCTGTTGGCGCCTCCGGTTGTTGAGTTTGTCCTTGTTCTTCTGGTGAGTGCCCTGTGCGCTGTCGCGGTCACCTGGGGCGCGCCCCCGAGCGCCATCGTCATCCTGCTCGTGCCCATCGTCGTCACTACGCGGACGTTTCTGGGTCGTGGGGTCCACGACTTTGGCGCCCCTAGGCCCAGGGACATGCACACTGCAATGATGGAGGCCGTCGTGGTCAGGCGGACGTGCGCATTGCGATCGACAGAAATGCAGCCGACGGTCAACGAAGAAGGAACACTCGGGGGTGCAGGCGTGCGAACATCCCCACAAACAGACTGTCGTATCCACTTGTTTTGTGTACGAGCGCCGAAGCACCAACGGCTGCCCCCGATACTGTCGAAAGGATTCTCTGCGATGCCAGCGACGATCAAGGCCTTCGGGTGGAGCAGGTGGAGGGTCCAGCAGAAGTCCTGGGGCAGTATCTGCAGGATACTCGCGCATGCGGTGCAGAATGTCCAGGGTAGCCGCTGTCCGCTCAAGCGCCTCCAGCGCAGCCTCAAACCGCGTCTGGCGGGCGGCGTCCAGCCCGAGCTCGCGGCCGAGGCGCCGCCACTGCCCCAGGGATTGCCCAACTACATGCGCGATGAGAGTGTCTGTGTGAAAGATCCCCCTCGAACGAAGCTGCCCGTGGAGCAGCTCGAGCCCCTGTTGCGCCAGCCAGCGCAGGAGAATATCAGGAGACTCTCCAGACGTATCTGTCACTACCGGATCTTCGCGCTGACGCCGAGGCTCCCGCGACCCCTCGTGACATTCGCCTGGGCGCTCACCGCGTCCCGCCCGTTCCCCGTCTGCAGCAGCTGCACCAGGAGCGGCGGCAGGAGGCTGCTGTCTGGGGACCCCCCCGGAGTCCACTGAGGACATCCCGGGGGCCGCCAGGCGCCGCGGGCGCGCGAGCCAGGTCCAAGGAGGCAAGATGGCGCGCTGGCGGCCGACGCGGGGGCCGCCCCGGCCGCGCCCAGAGTCTCCTGGCGACTGGCGGCTTGAGCCCGACGGCTTGAGCCAAAGGGTACGGACCAAAGGCGGCAGCACGCAACAGTAAAGCCACGAATTGTGGCCCTCAGCACGGCAGCAGACCAACATTGTGGCTGCCAGGGAATCGGTGCACAACGGCATCTGGCACGATAGGCCGGCACAGCGCCAGAAGAGGCGGAGGACCAAAAAGAGGAGGAGAGACAGGACCAGAGAACAGAGCAAGGCGCTGTGTGCGGACCCCAGGTAGCCCCAACATGCCACTGATACGACTGAAAGCACAGCGGCGGATATAGATTTAATGGGAGCTTTTCCGTATCCATTTTGGCTCAAGTGTTTGAGGCTGCGCCAGCCCCTTTCCTCGAGCTGATCTGTAAGCCTACCAGGAGTCAGAGCTTACGAGAGTCGAGCGTCGTGTCGCCAGTCGGACGGGGGGGAGGCAAGGCTGTAAGCTTGGCGCGCTTACTTTCAATGCAGTGTACTCGATTGCCCTCGATCTGATGTCGTGGACTCTCGAGCGCGCAGATGTCACGCTCCGTCTTCCTGTTCCAGAGTCCCCCTTTTGGGCTCCCCCAGAGGTTTCGCGGTACGCGCCTTAAACCATCTCTGTAGTAGATGCTGCCTTTGTCGACGATGAGTGTTTTGTGTTGATGGCCGCGTCTGGGGCTCTCTTGGACAAAACTATCAACGTTTTGCTGGACCAGCTTTTCGGGGTCTTTGACAACCTCCACCTCTCGATCAACTGTAAGCCAGGCAAAACCGAGGCCCTTTTAAAGTATCGTGGATACCAGACTGTGCAAGTGCGTGAAGCCCGTCGGTGCTCTGACGGCAAATTACGTCTCCAGGTCCCAGGCCGCCCAGGCCTCGCGATTGATGTGGTTGAGAGCTATGTTCATCTTGGCACGCATGCTTGTGTTGACGGGTCGTGGTTTAAGAATGCCTCCCATCGGTGTGCGAGCGCGAAGGCTGCGTATGCCCCCCTGTCTTCTAAGATTTTCGGGGCCCCGAGCGTGTCTAGACCGCACAAGCTGTGTTTCATGAATACGTTAGTTCTGTCTCGCTTGTGTTTTGTCGGTCTCCGTAACGGTTCCTGCGCCGAATGCTATGAAAAAACTGAATGGTGTCTATATGAGAGTGCTGCGCCGCTTCCTCGGTGATTCCAGATGTTCAGCAGACGTTCAATTTTCCGATCGCGAGGTCCGCGAGCAGTTGCACCAACCATTCATCGAGTGTTTGATCAGCCGTGGCCGTTTGCTACTCTGGGGGAGGCTTGTGAGAAATCGTCCTTACACCCTCCTCGCTCTCCTCCACGTTCGGGTGAAAGACAAGCCTCTCCCATGGATGCAGCGCTTGCTCGATGATGCCGCGCTCTTGCAGCGCGCCGTGATGCCTCCCGATGTTCCGTCCCCCCTTGAGGACCCGAATCGGTGGGAGCGCCTTCTGCAGGATGAAAGATCTTGGAGAACGATCGTCAGTCGCCTCGATTTCGTTGAGTCGTTGAGTCGTCGTGCGACCCCGCTCCCCCTCCGACCTCATCCCCTGCCCACCCTAGCGTATGGACATGCGAGCAGTGCCAGACCTCTTTTGCCTCTGAGCGCGCGCTGCGCAGCCATCGCCGAGCCAATCGGTCATTCGCACCAAAGTTGGCTCCTCGGTTTGCCCCTGCTGCAAAACCAACTTTCAGCAGAGGCTCCGTCTTCTTTCGCACCTCTCCGACTTGCGACGCCCAAGGTGTCGCGAGTGGGTACTTGCCCACTGCCGCCCGCTCCCTGCCAGGGAGGTCTCCAGGCTAGACGCTGAAGACCAGCGACTACGCCGAGAGGCGCAGCGTGCAGGCCGCTCCCACCACCTCGCCCGAGGCGCTGCCAGGAGCGCCACTGGAGCTGTCGTGGGGAGGGCCTCGTGTTAAACATGGTTTAAAACGCACTGTCGAAACTGGCGAAACTTGCGGCTACAATCCTCGGCCCAAAAAAAATAATGGGGGCTAGTAAAAGCTGATGTGGGGAAACAGAGCTGGTAGTAAACAGGAAGACTTGGGTTGGTGGCAGGGAGGGCGAGTGAAAGCTCGTAGGGATTGCCATTGACAATCAGGACTGGTGGGACTAAAGGAGGCGAGGTACTAGGTGGTAGAAGCACCCACTGCGCCAGCCATGTGTATAAATCAAAACCACAATCGAGGAGACACGGGGCACGCACTACGAAAGCAACCGTGGAACCCCGTTCTGGCCCCACCCCCAAAAAACGGAACGAGTCGTGGAACCGACCAGGCAGAGCGTGCAGGACGCCGACTCACACATCGATAAGGGCACGCGAAAAGAACATCAGTCAGCGGCCGCAAGACAATCAGACGAGGGTCGAGCAACGGCGGGGCGCGCTGGGGCACAAAAAGGCACGACAGGCGGAGGGCGCGAAGACGCGAGAGGCGGCCGGAAAAGCTGGGAGAGCGAGGGAGCCACACAGCGACAGGCGAAGTGCAGGGCAGGGCGAACACGGGGGCGGAGCCGAACATGAAGCACATGTCGGTTCGCACATCAACGACAGCACGCGAAAACAGCACGTCGCCAAGAAGGCCGGTTGCGGAGCAGCCTGCGAGGCAAAGATCTGCCATTTGATTTCTGACACACCCCAGGGCCCTGGCCCCAGGCAGATGCTTCCCAACAGGACGAGTTGCAGAGCGAGATGTAGCGGCTCAGAGGAGGGGAGGGAGGAGGGGATTGGGGATACGGCGGAGGAGGAGTCCACGCCACAGAGTACCCCCACTCCCGCCACACCAGGGACCGCGCGCGGCGGGGCCACTCAGAGCCTCGCCATCAGGGGCGACCTGTTCCCCGAAGGTGTTATCCAAGGCGAAGCCGTTGCCCATGTGGGTGGAGACGGGGACGAGGAGGAGGAGGAGGAGGGGAGGAGGAGGAGGAGGAGGAGGAGGAGGAGGAGGAGGAGGAGGTCAGACGACGGCTAGTCGCATGTCGAAAAGGATGGGCAACGCCCAGAGAGCGAGAGAGAGAGAGAGAGCAAGGGCAGACACCCTTGCCCTCGTCTCCTCCTGGGAGGAGGTCGGGCAATTGTGGGTGCGGCAGGTTCGCGTCGTGACGACGTCGGCGTTGGTTCCTGACACCGCGTGGACTGTACAACCTTCAACGATCGCGACTTTCTGGTAGCGCGGATCGTTCGCTGTCGGCCGATTCTGGGCCGCCGCCGGCGTTCAGCCATTGAACGCCTGGGCCGGGGTCGTCGCCGCGTCGACGCGGCGCGAGCCTGCCGCAGTGAGCCTTCTCGGCGACGTGCCTGCTCCAGGCGACTGCGCGCAGCTTCTCGCAAGGCGGCTACTTGCAAACCCCGCGGGCCCCCACGTGCGCGGCGCCTCTCGCTCTCGTCTCTGTTGCGAGCAGCCACCTTGCGAGGAAGTGGCACGCTTCGTTGAGATCTCCAGGGGGCCTCCGAGCTGCCGTCCGACGGCGGGTGCCGAAACAGGCTGTCTGTCGGGCTCTCGTCGGAGTCGTCGGAGCTGGAAGCGCCATCGGACCGCGGCGCGGAGACTCCCGCGGCGCCCGCCCCCACGAGGGCATCGCGCGAGGTCCGCGGCGCGAGGTCCAGTGGGGTCGACGGCGCGGCGGCTCTCGCAAGGGCCGCAGGCGGAGTCCCCGGAGCTGTCCGAGCTCTCCCAAGGACTTCGGGCGGGGTCGGCGGCTGGGAGGTGCTCAGCAGGGCGGGCGGCGTCGACGGCACGGAGGCGCTGGCGCCCGCCTCCCCGAGGGCCTGGCGCGGAGCCAGAAACAAGCTGTCCCGCGGACAATGCCTTGCCCCTCCTCCCTCGTCCTGCTGCTGCCGCCGCCGCTGGCTGCTGCTGCTGCTCCTCGTCCTCCTCGTCCTTCTCGTTCTCCCCCTCTTCTTCCTCCTGCTGCTGCTGCTCCTTGTCCTCCTCGTCCTTCTCGTTCTCTCCCTCCTCTTCCTCCTACCGCTCCAATCCCCCCTTCTCATCATCAGCATCATCATCATCATCATCATCATCATCATCATCATCATCATCATCATCAGCATCATCAGCAGCATCATCAACACCATCAGCATCAGCATCATCATCATCATCAGCATCATCATCATCAACCATCATCATCAGCATCACCATCATCATCATCATCATCATCATCAGCATCATCATCATCATCATCATCATCATCATCATCATCATCATCATCATCATCATCATCATCATCATCATCATCGTCATCCTCATCCTCACCCTCATCATCATCATCATCAGCATCATCAGCAGCAGCATCATCAACACCATCATCATCATCATCATCATCAGCAGCAGCAGCATCAGCATCAGCATCAGCATCATCATCAGCATCAGCATCAGCATCGTCATGATCATCAACATCATCATCATCATCATCATCAACATCATCATCACCACCATCACCACCATCATCAACATCATCATCAGCATCATCATGATCATTAGCATCACCCCATCATCATCAGCATCATCATCAGCAGCATCATAAACATCACCATCATCATCATCAGCATCATATGATTCATCATCGTCATCATCATCAGCAGCATCAGCTTCATCAGCAGCATCAGCATCATCACCAGCATCTTCATCATCAGCATCATCATCCTCACCATCATCAGCATCACCATCATCAGCATCCTCATCATCATCATCACCGCACTCACCATCAACATCGTCATCACCAGCATCATCACCACCATCATATCAGCCAGCGTTGACTCCGAATCTATAGATGGACAGGAGAAGAGAGAGAGAAGGAGAAGACGAGCATGCATGGAGGTGCTTCACATGCCTGAGCATTGCATGGCATTGTGTCGTATTGCATCACATTACTTTGGCATTGGCATACGCATTGGCATAGGCATAGGTCTTGGCATTGGCATGGGCATCCATAGGAATACATAGAAATCCTAGCTCAGGATCCAAAGGACTCCATACGCATAGCAATTGGCATAAGCATTGGCATATAGGCATTGGCATAGGCATAGGAATACATACGACTCATAGGAATACATAGGAATACATAGGACCCGCCATTGGAAATAGCTGGGGGGGGCACTGAAAATAAGGGGGCGGGGTACCATTGGCAAAAGGGGGGGGGGCATTGGAAATAAGGGGGGGCACCATTGGCAAAAGGTTGGGGGCTAAAGACCAATTACTTATACTGAGCAGCTAGGACTCCTATAGGGCAAGCCTACTTGGAGAACCATCACCATCACCCTCATCATCATCATCATCATCATCATCATCATCATCACCTTTCATCATCATCATCATCATCATCATCATCATCAACATCACCATCACCATCACCATCATCATCATCATCAGCATCAGCATCACCATAACCATCACCATCGTCATCATCATCAGCAGCAGCATCAGCATCAGCATCATCGTCAGCATCAGCCTTCTCATCCTCATCCTCCTCCTCATCATCAGGATCATCGTCATCGTCGGCGGCATCATCATCGTCATCAGCATCATCACCACAGTCTTCATCATCATAATCATAACCATTAACAACGTCATCATCCGCACCACCACCATCAGCATCATCATCATCACCATCATCACCATCATCATTATCATAAAATCCTCATCATGATCCTCATCAGCATCGTCATCATCATCTTTACATCCATATGCACCATCATAAGCATCATCACCTTCATTCCCTTCCTAGGCTCTGCCTAGAAGAGTTCTCGCTCGGTATGCTTAAAGGGCGGGGCAGTGTTCCACGCCCCGGGCGGTTCCCCCAGTATCCGCCCCGCGGTTCCCCCAGTTGCGCCCCCTTGGCTTAGCTTTGCTTATCTGATCTCAGCTTAGCCTAGCTTAACTTGGCTTAGCTTAGCTTTGCTCAGCCTAGCTTAGCGCAGCATAGCTTAGCTTAGCTTAGCTTAGCCTAGCGTAGCTTAGCTTAGCATAGCTTAGCTCAGCTTAGCTTAGCGCAGCATTAGCATAGCATAGGATAGCATAGCATAGCATAGCATCGCATCGCATAGCATAGCATAGCATAGCGCAGCATAGCATAGTGCAGCATAGCATAGCATGGCATAGCGCAGCATAGCATAGCGCAGCCTAGCATAGCATAGCATAGCTTAGTTTAGCACAGCACAGCGCAGCATAGCATAGCATAGCATAGAATTACAACTTCCCCATTGGCTTGTGGCTAACATGCCCAAAGATAGATTTTAGTAACGAATCTGTCAACATGTGAACTGTCGATTTCACTGCGGCCTCTGATGGCCACTGGCGGCCCCGCTGGCGGTTTCCCCGCGGCTTCTGGTGGCTACTGACGGTTCCCCCGCGGCCTCTGATGGCCACTGGCGGTTTCCTTGCGGCTGCTCCTGGAAAATTCGGCAAGAACCCTGAGGCATACCCATGGACTCCCAGAACTGTTTGCCCTAAACCCCAAGTCCAGAGTCCTAATTCTTGTCCTTCGCACGAACCACTAACCACTAACCACTAACCACTAACCGCGAACCATAAACCACCAAACCCACTCGTACTCGCACTCGCATTCGTACTCTTACTCGTACGCTTGCTCTCCCCCGTGCTCGTACTCCGTACTCGTACTCCTGGAGATGGGGGGGGGGGGGCGGGGGCCAGGGCGAGGGTTTTATTTTTTTGCCACACTGCACGGGCGATATGGGGGAGGACACGAAGGCGTGCATTTCAAACACCTAGCTGGCGGGGCACGCGTCGCATCACTCCTCATGCCTTCTTGGCGCAAATCTTGCACAAAGGGTATAAAGTAACGGGCTTTCCTCTGCCACTCTTGTGCAGCTCTGGAACGGGGGGTCGGAAAATCAAACCAACGAATCCCCAAACCCTTCCACGATCCCCCTTCGTCCCTCCACGCCCCATTCCGCTTGCCCCCTGCCCACTTCCTCCTCCTTCCACTTGACTCCTGTCTCATTCCCCCTCCCCCTCCTCCTCCTCCTCCTCCTCCTCCTCTCCTCCTCCTCCTCCATCCTCCATCCTCCCTCGTCGGGCCCATTCTCCGACCCCCCCCATTGGCTATGCTTCAGGGCGCGGCAACCAGAATTTATATGATAGACTTCGCTACCACTAGCAAGCAACACGCGAGCGGGTGGGCTCTCACGGGGGGACGTCGGGGGCGCCCCGGCAGGCGCAGTCGGAAGAGGCGACGGCGGCGGCGGCGGCGACGTCGTGCAACGACCGAGCCACACTCCGAACATCAGGGCGAGAAGCGTTGAGAGCGACCACGCGATCCACAGGAGCATGTTCGGCCCTGGCGGCCCACGAGCCCGGGACGTAGGACGCAAGAACCTGGCACCTCGAACCGCGAGGGGCTCGACAGGCCAGGGGCCAGGGGTCAGAATGGGGACTAGGGACTAGGGACTAAGGACTAAGGAATAGGGCAAGGAGCAGGGCGAGAAGGAGGAGGAGGGTGGAACGGGGGAGGGCGAGGAGAAGGAGAAGGAGAAGGAGGGGGGGATAAGAGGGGGGGCAGGGTAAGGAGCTATTCGGCGACTCTTCATCGTCGGAACCATCCTGGCGAAAGACCCACACATATGCAGCTGCGAGCAAGACCATTGTGAGCATCGTATTGGGTCTCGGGTCTTGGGTGAAGCTGTAGACTGTAGACTGCAACTTGCAGTTCCCTGTCTCTCCTACTGCTCCCCCCCTCTCATCCCCCATCCCGCTCTTCATATTACATATTCCCCCTACTCCCTACCCCCCACTCTTTATTCCCCCTGCCCCCTACTCGCGTTGTCCCGTTTCTTCGCCCACGTCTCCTCCCCCATCCCCCACCTTCCCCCCCCCCTCCCTCCCTCTCCTGGCCGCGCCTTTTCTCTGGTCGAAAACGCAGTACTCGGCACAGTCGGGCATTCTCGCAGACCACTCCGCACGTCGTGTTCCTCTCCTGTCGTCCCTCGTTGCCCCCTGCTGCTCATGCTGTTTCGTCAGGCGCGGCCACTCGTCTTTCTCCTACTCCTCCTCCTCCCCCCCTCCCTCTCCTCCTCCTCCTCCTCCTCCTCCTCCTCCTCCTCCTCCCCCTCTTCCCCCCCCATCCTCCTCCTCCTCCCCCTCCTCTTTCCAACCTCCAGCCTCCAGCCGCCTTCGACCTCGATACTGTGGACCTGTAGACTCGAGCCCCATAGCCCCTAGCCCCTGGCCGCTAGTCGCTAGTCCCTAATCCCGAGTCTAGTCTCTAATTCCTAGTCCGAAGCTTGTAGCCTCTAGCCTCTAGCCTCTAGCCCCCGCCCCCTAGCCCCACCTCCATCTCAGCCCTCACCCCCCTCTGCCCCTCCTCGCCCCCCGCCCCCTCTTCCTCCCCAGCGTCATCCTACACCTCTCAAGCCTTAAGCCTTAAGCCTTAAGCCTTTAGCCTGTCCCTTGTCTTGCCCCAACTCCTCCTGCTAGTCGCCATCCTGTTCCTGCCCCCCCCCCCCCCCCGAAATGCATTCTCACTATCGAGTTCGACGTCGCCCGCCTCACCATCCCTCCTCCGCCTGGACCCACATCCTTGATTTCATCCCGGCCATTATCGTACTCCTCCCTCTTCAACCCCCTCCTCCTCATCCTTCTACTCCTCCTCCCAGCTTACCGTAGTTCGTAGTTCGTAGTTCGTAGTTCGTGAACTAAACAGTCCTGCTGACCCCCCGCGCCAGTTTCCCCTCCTCTTCAGATCTCCAATGGCAAATGCGTCCTCCCTGTGCTGCTCATGCTCTTGTTTCGTGTTTCTACCCCTCCTCATCCCCCCCATCCTCTCCCTTCTCCTCCTCCTCTTCTTTGCTCCCCCTACCTCCTACCTCCATTATCGTAGCACGTAGCACGTAGCATATCAAAATTGAGAGCGGGCTGCTCAGCCATCCACTGCCTGGCAACCCGCTCTGCGCTGGCAATGCTCCGGCCAGCTGCACCTACGTCGATCCCCCAAGAAAGACGGCGATGCGAGGTGGTGGTCGAGGGCGAGGACAGGGGAAGGGGGAGGGGGAGGAGGAAGGAGGAGGCAATGGCCAAGGGCCAAGGGACAATGAGTGAAGATGAAATGGAAAAGGCCGGTGACAGGGCGGTGGAGGAGAGGGAGAAGCAGGAAGCACAGGAGGGGCACGATGCGGGGTGAGAGGAGGAGCACCAGGGGGGCGGCAGGGAGTTGACAGAGGCAAAGAGGGGGCAATGAAACGACGAGAAAGCGGGGGGCGGGGGACGGAGGAAAACGATGAGCATGGCGGGAAAGGGGGGCGGGAGGACGAAAAGGGAGACACACGGGGAGGATGAAGAGGCGACTGCACGCGGGGACGCGGGGGAAAGGGCGCAGGATGTAGGATGCAGGGTGGCAAGGTTTAGGGTTTCGGGTTTCGGGTTTCGGGTTTCGGGTTTCGGGTTAGGGGTTAGGGGTTAGGGGTTAGGGTTTCGGAGGGCGCAGGGCGCGGGGATGCCGGGGCAAGGCGCGGGGGGCGGGAGGCGGGGCGAGGGGGCGGGGGAAGGCGGGTGGGGGGGGGGGGGAGGAGGGGAAGGAGGAGGAGAAGGAAGAGTTTGTTTGATGTCGCGCTCCTCACGGGGCCCGGGGCTGCCGAGCGGGGAAACGACAGGCCGACCTGAGGCCCGAGATAGCAAGCGACGGGCCGAGGGCTCGAAGAAGCGACGGGGCCGAGGCTGGCACGGGGGAGGCCAGAAGACCCCGCCCCTGCCCCATGCGCGCGAGCTGCCGCCCTGAATGCCAGCTGGATCCTATTTCATGCCGGCGACAGCGGCAATCGGAGTCGATTGCAAACAACGCATCATATCAAGAAGGAAAAAAATCGAGAGAGAGAGAGAGAGAGAGAGAGAGCGAGAGAGAGGGGATAGAGAGAGAGAGAGGAAGAAAGAGAGAGAGAGAGAGAGAGAGAGAGAGAGAGAGCGTGAACACAGGGCATAAAGCATAGGGCATAGGGCATAGGGCATAGGGGAGGGATAGAGAGAGAGAGAGAGTGATGGGGGGGAGAGAGAGAGAGAGGTAAAGTACATGAAAAAGCTGCAGGCTGGAGACTAAGAGAGAAAGAGATGGTGAATGATATATATATATATATCCATAGATAGATAGATAGATAGATAGATAGAGAGAGAGAGAGAGAGAGAGAGAGAGAGAGAGAGAGAGCGAGTCTGGAGGACAAGAGACAAGAGGCTAGAGGCTACAGAGGCTAGAGGCTAGAGAGGCTAGAGAGGCTAGAGAGGCTAGAGGCTAGAGGCTAGAGAGGCTAGAGGCTAGAGGCTAGAGGCTAGAGGTTAGAGGCTAGAGGTTAGAGGCTAGAGAGGGCAGAGGCTAGGGGCTAGGAGCTAGGAAGACTAGAGGGCCAGAGGGCTAGAGGCTAGAGACTGAAGAGAGGAGAGAGAGAGAGAGAGTAAGCGGGGAGGATAATGCAACATATATGGAAGAAAGAACGCAGAGACATGGAGGCCACATGATAGAGGATTGAGGCGAAGGATGGATAGAGGGATAGAGGGATAGAGGGATAGAGGATAGAGGATAGAGGATAGAGGGTAAAGGGTAGAGGGTAGAGGATAGCAAGAGGGTGGGAGATGGGGAAATGCTCGCGAAAAAAAGCTGGCGCCCAACGTCCAACATTGCCCATTAACTTGGGTCCGCGCTCTGCCAGGCTGCCAAACAAAAATCTGCGTGCACGGAGCCTCCAGCAACGTACTCGAGAGGGGCCAGGGTGAACTATGAACTATGAACTATGGGCTATGGGGCTATGGGCTATGGGGTCACAACCGACAACCGCAAAAACTCAATCATGCCGCCCAGTAGCGAGCGCTGCCAAGACACGAACCGTAAACCTCGCCAGACTCCATGGACCCAAGCAGCTGAGTTGTCAACCTTGAAGGGCAGGCCGCTCCTCCCCCTAGGCCCTCGGCCCGGGGCCCTTGGGCCTCAAGGCCGACGCCGACCCAGTGATTGTTGACCACATGACACTTTCAAGGGGGGGCCGCAGGCACGCGCACGCCACTTGGCGAACCGTCGGCAACATGCCTGAGGGCACATATCGGACCTGGAAAATATTCGTCGGAAAACCGGCGCCGGGCATCCGACCTGAAATATCAATTCTCACTGTACTCTCTACTCTCCACTCTCTACTCTCTATGTTTTACTTACTTGTTGGGGTTGAGGATCTTGTTCACCATGTTGAAGATCGCAGGGTGGATCTGGGTCGTCTGGGCGCCCGCCGCGGTGACGAGCCTGATCTGTTTCATGATCGCATCCTTGGTGAGGTCCTTGCCACCGTTCTCTGTGAGGATGGCGTCCGTGCACGTGATCCTGCCCAACTTGAACACCTTCTCCGCTGCGTCGCGCTTCTGGACCGCGTCCGAGACACCGGGCCCCTCTGGCACATCCTGCGGGGCCGCTGAAATCCAAGCGCGGCCCGTCAAAAGGCTGGCCCTGGCCAAACCTGAGGGGGGATGGGAAGGTCAACTGCTAGCTCCAATGACCCTGCGCCCTAACCTCCTGCGTCCTAGGACCGACGACCTATGACCTACGACGTAACCTGCAACCTACGACCTACGACCTACGACGGTTGACCTTCCCTCCCTTCCTCCAGGCGTGTCCAGGACTAGCCGACTAGCCACTAGCCCACTAGCCACTAGCCAGTAGCACTAGCAATCAGCCACTAACCCTGAAGTTTATCTTTCAGCTTTTAGATGTTAGCTTTTAGCCTGGAGCCTGTAGCTCTCTAGCCTCTAGCTCTCTAGCTCTGCTGCCCTGAGATTTCCCGCTCCCGGGCCTGGTACTTAGTCAAGACCTTCGTGGCTGCGGTGAGAGCATTCTGCAAGGCTGTCAACTTGCTGTGCGTATCCTTGGGGTTCATCGCGTGGATCGTCGACTTAGCTGCTTTCATGACTTCAGTCATCTGGCAATTATCCTTCAAGTTTTTCTTCCACGACTCGCCGTCTTTGCCGCCAGCGGCCAAAGGCTCGTAATCAGTAAGTGCGACGCTCAGGACTTTCATGACCTCGTCCACCAGATGAAGGATGGCGTCGTTGCGCTGGCCCTTGGCATCGCACAAGCACTTGACCAACTCTTCATGAATGATCACGTTTTCAAATGACCCGAGCGTGTCCTCGCCGTCGTAGGCACTCTCCTCCAGCGGCTGAGCGTTGGCCTTCAACGCGGTAGCGACCACCCGGCAGAGCGCGTCCAACTGGGGAGGCTCGACCGCGCATCTTTTGATTTCTGGCCATGGCTGCTACTCTGCTACCCGGCCCCGCTCTGACCTAAATCCTTGGCCCTGGAACCCGAGGCCCTCAGACCTCCCCCGGACTCTGGACTCAGGACCTCCAGACTATACACTCTAGGCTCTAGGCTCTAGGCCCTCGGACCTAAGATCTAGGATGCTAGACTCTAGACTCTAGACCTCTGGACCTCTAGACTGCGAGTCTCTAGATCTCTAGATCCCCAGATCCGAGACGGCCCGAGACCCCGAGACCCTCGGAAAGGGGGCAGGAGGGCGGGGAGGAGGAGGGCGCTCACGGCAAGGACGAGGAGGAGGGAGTGGTGGAAGCATCGAATCCCCTTCGAGAGCATGGCTTGAAGCCTAGAGCTCAAAGGTCAGAGCTTAGAGGTTGGATGATTAGAGCGGCCAAAAGTGAAAGGGTCAGAGGTTAGAGAGGCTAGAGGCTAGAGGCTAGAGGTTAGATGCCAGTGGGCGTAGAGGGTAGAGGGTAGAGGGTAGAGACTACCGACTAGAGACTAGAGACTAGAGACTAGAGGCTAGAGACTAGAGGACTAGAGTGTGGAGAGTAGAGGTTAAGAGTGAATGATTAGACGTTGCAGGTTAGAGGTTAGAGGTTAGAAGTAAGAGGTTAGAGGTTAGATATTAGAGGTTAGAGGTTAGAGGGTAGACGGCAAGACGGTAGAGGTTAGAAGGCAGAGAGTTATGGATTTCAACCAAATGTGTTCCTGGGGGCGGTTGCCCTTGGCATCCTTCTGATTCATGCGCTGCTCCATGGTGCCCCCAAGCTTCGCGAAGATAGTCACCTGCTTCTTGATGTCCAAAACCGACACTGCCATCTTCAAAACGTCCTTGTAGCACGCCGGGGTGGAGGACAGCATGGGGATCAACATCTGGACCGCCCCGGCAGCCTCGGGGCTGGCATCAGCCCTCCACTTCTCCAGGGTCTGCGTTGCGAACTCCTTGGGCAGCTGAAACGCCTAGGCCTAGAGCCTAGACCGATGACTCCCCATTCGCGGCCTGACATCTTGCCCGCGCCCGAAGATGCCAAATATAGCGATCCTCGGGCGCGCGCGCGATGTCAGCTCACGTTCACACCCTGGCCCGGCCACAATTCGTAGGGATCACGCTGGACATTTGGATTTGGACCCTGGGGGCCCCGTGGGGCGACTGTTTCAATCCGCATCGGCCCGATCCTTGACGATGGAGCTCGCGAAGTTAGCGGCGGGCGCCGCTCCGTCGCTGAAGGTGAGGCCAGAACACTTCTGCAACGCCAAGGATAGAATACTC